CCACCCCCCATTCCGAGAGCGAAGAAAAAACAACGAGGCGACGTGGGCGTCTGCTGGCCGGGACCTTGCTTGCTGCAATGATGCGTTGGCCAACGCACCGGGACGCATCAGAAGGAAAACAAGTGGTCCCGCCCGGGTGCAGTAGCTACTACTAAGGTAGCCCTTTTCCGCGGCCAGCGCACCGCAGCGGCAGCGGCAGCCCCAGCCTTGCCGCCCGCGGGCGACAGATGGAGGAGTGCCAACGCATCACCACCTGTCAATCACTTACACGCTCGGCCTTGGTGCAATACATATGTACATATGTTGCCGTCGCTCCCTCCCAGTGTCGCCGGACCCTGTCCTGCTCGTCCTTTGAACTTCTTCTCCCCGTCGCGCGACCTCCAGCTTCCGGCCCGCGGCTCGTCGCTGACTGCACGTCTGGTCTGGTACGTCGCTCCCGTCAAGCGCGCGACAGCCGCCCGTCATCGTCGGGCATCTTCGAGGGCTTGCTTCTGTCGCCAGCTTCGTCGCCCCAAGTCGCCCCGGGGCATCTGCACTCGCGCCTACGCACAGCACCTGTCGCCAGGCAAAACCAGACGAGGCCGGGAACCAGAAAAATAAAGTCGACAAATAGGAGACTATGGCAAACATATGGGCAAGTGTCTGCATGCCGCCAGGCCCGATACCCTGTTCTACTCCCGTTTCAAAGCTTCGCTATGCTCCCTAACCAGCAAATGAACCAAAGGGGGCCGCAAAGGCCGTCCCGGCACCAAGTGGTTGCTCGCCTGGGCCCGTTGCACCCTGCGTCGGCGTTTTCGTGAGTTCGTGAGAGGAGGAATTTTATCTCTGCCGCTTCGCCAACGCCCCGTGGCCAGTGCCGCCGGTACCGCGCCGCCCTGGCCCCGCGCTACACGGGCACGGCGCTGCTCGCGATTATGCTCCTCCGCTCCGAAGAGCGTCGTGCCCTGCGGCTGAGTGAGTCTTTCGTCGTCGTCATGGTCGTTCGTCGTCGTCATGAGAGGGTCGCTGAACATGTTCCCTGCTGGGGAGGAGATCCTGCCGTCCGCAAGAGGGCGAATGCAGCCACGCCTGGCCTCTCAGCGGCCAGCCCACTTCACCAGAAACTGCACCACCGCGTCCAGGTTCGTCTCCTCTTTGGCGCTGATGCCATAGCAGCACACCTCGCGGCCCTGGATGCTCTTCAGATCCAGCTCGTCGATGAGCTCGTCGACCGACAGCTTCTGCGGCAGGTCCGACTTGTTGCCGAGGACGAGGAGCGGGATCCCCGCCAGCGTCGAATACTCCATGAGCGAGTGCAGTTCGTCCTTGGCCTGCGGGATGAGCGCTACATCCGCAATGTCTACGATGAAGACGATGGCGTTTACGCCCCGGCAGTACCTCTCCCACATGCCCCGGAATCGCGGCTGGCCTCCGATGTCCCAGCACTTTAGAGTGACGTGCCCACGTTGCACGCGCTTCATGTTGAAGCCCACAGTAGGGATCGAGCTGAGAGCGGTTAGCCAAGGCAGAGCTGAGGCGGTGTGGATGCCGGAAGCTTGCGACCGTTCGAGGAGCAGCTTCACGACAAGGAGACATCATGGCTGACTTACTCTAGTGTGAACTCGCCGCCCTTGATGACCGGGTCAGTTAGCGACCAACAAGCTCACGAACAATCAGTCCGGGCGAGGACCGACTTACCGCCAACACGCGCAACAGCGACGTCTTACCCGCGTTCTGCAGACCGACCAGAGTCACTTCCATCTCCATGGCCCTGGCAGAGGTCTGGTCAGCATGCCGGGTCATACGGGTCGAGTGGCGAAAGCACCGAGCCGGAGCGCCTGGCCTGGCATCGCCCGCGCATTGCTGTCGCGAAGCTCCGACTTACCAAAATGTCCTCAACAGCCAGTCATAAACCCTCCGAAATAACCCCGCCATGTTGGGATCCGGCCTGGGACAGTTTGCCGTGAAGAAGACGTGGTCGAACGACGGGACGAGCGTATCGGGTCGACGGCGTTGCGACGGCTCGCACGCACGAGCAGGGCAAGATGAACACGGCGCGACGGCTTCGAGGATCGAAGGATTTGCGAGGGGCGCAAAGCATTAATCAAAGGACATTAATACAGCCGGTAGCGCCGCTGCGTGGTCGAAAAGAAAGACAATAAAGTTACGCCGTTTCGGATGCAAAATGGTCTGCTGGTGGGACAGTGGGGCGAGACGAGAGGATGTCTGTCGGCGGTCCGTCTGTCTGTCTTCCGCTGGGCGCGAGCTCAGCGTCGGGGGCGTGCTCGTGCGTCGGTTCGAGAGTGGACGAGCGAGGTGTCGATGTCGCACGAGGTGACGGGGGGGTTGAAGACGTCGAGAGGGGGGGGGAGAGGATGGTCGCGCGCGAACGGGACGCCGAAGCGGGAGCGGGAACTTGGACCGGCGGATCAGAGCTGGACGGAACAGAGCAGAGCAGGGCAGGGCTGGACAGGGCAGAGTACGAGTAGTAGAGCAGAGCAGGCACCTGGGGGGAAGAGGGCGAAGTCCTGGGGGTGGAAGCACGAAACGAAGGTCCAGGACCCCACTCTGGACGGGATGGCGGGCGGGCACAAGGGTACCAGGTTGTAACCAGGCTTGGGGCGGGGACGACCCGTGCCTCAAAGCGTAGCG